GAGAGAGAGAGAGAGAGAGAGAGAGAGAGAGAGAGAGAGCATGCATATGACTTGTGTGGGAGGTTTGTATGGCTGTGCTTGTACATATTATTTGAACATAGTGTGGGGTCATGGCCATGCGAGAGAGAGAGAGAAAATGGGGGGGTTGCATGAGGCAGTGTACACGTGTGTGAGACATAGAAAGAGAGGGGTTGTAGATGAGACAATGGAGACGTGTGTTGTGACAGAGGGTATGCATGTCTGTGTTATAGGCTGTGCATGTGACTGTGTGTGTGTGAGAGAGAGAGCACTGTGTGCACGTGTCAGTGTACACTTGTGTGGGAGAGGGATTGTGCATGAGTGTGTGAGAGAGAGAGAGTGTGTGTTGTACAGTGTGGGGTCATGTGCATGAGAGAGAGGGTGTGTATGATACTGCATACATGTGTGTGTGAGGCAGGGAGAGGGAGGGGGTATAGATGAGACTAGATGTGTACGTAAGTGAGAGAGGGTGTACATGTGTTACTGGATGTGCATGTTACTGTGTGTGTGTGTGTGAGAGAGAGAGAGAGAGAGAGAGAGAGAGAGAGTGCATATGTATGACAGATTTGTATGGCTGTTCTTGTACATTGTGTGTGGCTCATGTGCATGAGGGTGTGCATGAAACTCTAGATGTGTGTGTGCGTGCTTGCGAGGCAAAAAGATTGAGGGTGGAAGATGAGACAATAAACCGTTTGGGTTGGGGTGAGGGGGAGAGTTTGCATGTGAGTGTTAAGAGGGTGCGCATTCCTCTAGGCATGTGTGTGTGTGAGAGAGAGATAATAGAGGGGCTGTGTGCATGAGACTGTACGTGTATCAGAGAGATTGTGCATGAGGTACTGCGTGCGTGTGTCTGTGAGAGAAAGAGAGAGGAGGGGGGAGAGAGCATGGTAGTTTATCTGTGTTTGGGTGAGTGAATCAGAGAGCATCAATTTGTGTGAGAGAGAGAGAGAGATATTGGATTTCAGAATTGACTAGAACACCGTTGATTCGAGATGACCCTTGTAACAAATACCATGATTCCAATATTTCTCTTCGCAGAACCACTAAATTGTCTTTGCCTTGCATCCACTGTTTCAATTCCCACAGGATGGCAGGAGGCCATGGCCGGGGATCATGTGATACTGGATCTCTCTTCTGACTCTGCTGCATCAGATTGCACTGAGGGTCTAGATAGGGAAAATGGGGCCGCACCATGCCTTGACCATGCAGGTCGCAGTGTCTTTGGGAATGCAGAAAACAGGCTTGTGTTAGAGAGAGAAAATGCGGTCTCAAAAGGGAGGTTTCGGCATAAATCCAGCTCGCTCAGCTGCCTAAAATACATACCAAAGCAGAATAACTGTTAAGGTGTGTTTCTGCAATGTTTTGTTGTTTCATTGATTGTGGTGGGGGTTCCAATTTTTAGCATTTGCTTCTCTCTGCCCGACCTATCCGAATTCGTTTTTTTTAAATGATGAAAATTTATTTGTAATAATTGTGTTTTAGAATTTCTGTTTTTTGATTTTTTTTTTTACTCCCTTTGGGTGCTTGTTTTTTTGGTTGTAGTATGTTCAGTATTGTGAGAGTGCCGAGGGCACGGCACATGGTGTATTTTCAGCCGTGTTGCAGTTATTGAAAGGGAGGATCATGGGAAGACTTTTTGTTTTCCCCTTTTTGTGTTCGTCAATTTTATATGCTACTAAAGCTTTTATTATGAAGGGCCATATCAGACTAAAGGCTGTCTTGCATTCTTATCTTCTTATCTTTGCTCCCAAAATGTGTGTGTGTGTGGGGGGGGGGGGTTAAAGTTCTTTTTTATTATGTCCCTGCTTATTTGATCAAGTTCACCATATTTGTATTCTCTGATCTCTGAAATTGATATGCAATTCAATCTTTGTAGTTAGCCCCCACTGACCCTTAAAATAGAAAGGGCACGAAGTTCTTTAGCTTAGGGCTTGTAGATTTTGATCTATATGGTCATTGAATCCTTTTCCAAGTATAAACTATCACTGGTTCATCATCTACGGTTTTGACGGTGGATGGACAAAGGAAGAGAGTAAGAGAACTTGGTAGTGTGCGGCTTAGTCTCTTGAGCTGCACTAGTCACACATATATTATAGAGATACAAATGGAAAGTACCCCTGTACGTAAAAAATCTACATGTATCTATATTATATCATTATTAAATAATGTATCCCATTTGTGGTCATAATTTTTACTCCAGTGTAGTTCCAACCCACATTTCACATAAAGCCTCCTACTTAAATCAGATGCGTAAAAAACTTTGCCTCCACGAGAGTGGATCCTCATTTACAGCAGAAACAATAACCAACACGCTCATGTGCGGCTTAACAATAAAAAGTGGCACTTTAACCATATATAACAATTTATTTTTATTTAAAAAAAAAAGAAGGAGAAAGAGAGCGGGACTCAGGCAAGTTATTCAGAGTCGTCCGAGTAAATCGTCTTGACTAGGGCTGAGTACTTTATCCCAGAAGAGAAGAAAGAGAGAGACTCCTTATGAAGTTAAACGGCTAAAGAGAAAGAAAAAAGATGTATGTCTGGGATTGGGGATGCTGCTAAGATTGAGAAGTCGCATCATTAAGAAAAGTGGAATGGATGGAGCGTGACAAAAGCAAGATTTCTCCTATTTCTATAAAAAGCAAAACTTCCAAAGCCAATGACTCATGTTGTTGTGCACTGTAGTTGTCATCAAAGTCTTTCATCAAATGACGATGGGACCCTCTATGACAGAGAGAGATAGATAGATGGATAAAATTAGATAGAGGAAAAAGTTTAGGGTCTGTTTGGCTACCTTGATTAGATTCTCTTGGGGATAGGTTAATACTGGAATTGACTTCTCCTGGAATTGGAGGTGCGCCTTAATTGGATCGTTTAAGGTAGCAATCTTATAGAAACCTTAGCCTTAGATATAATCCAAAGCATACATGCCATTGATGTATGATAAATAGGGAGCGGTAGGAGGAACCCTCTATCAACCCTTGCTTCGGGTTTGGACCACTGTTTGAAAAATAGATCAGTGATCCAGATTGGCCATTCAGAGAACGGGCTAGAACCGCCCTGTTCACAAGTCCTTAGTATTTTGGCGGAACAGGATTGGGTTCCGATCCGAAACAGTTGGTTCCAGTTTGGTTCATCGTTTTTATAAATATTAGTCATACATAATTGATTATATGATGGTTAGATCTTGCACTCGGCATTTAGAGAGGGAGGGATTCGTTTTCTTAGGGCACATTGAGTTGTTGTAAAATTATTCTTTGGGAAATAATTTCACGGTAAATTTGACGTATACATGTTTGGTAAGGGAAGAAAGCACATGAAAATAAAACATATAGTCAAATCAGTGCAGGAAAAATTGGACGGTTAATAAAGGAACAGGCCAGTTCCGGTTTAGGTTGATTTTGATCAACCAGCCGGGTATTTTAAAAAAGTTCAAAAACAATTATATGAAAGGATTGTTTATAAAGAGACCATTTGTTTTTTTATACAAAGATGTCACAATCATTCTTATATTTTAAATTTCAAAATGGGTGGTTGTAAGAGTCATTGAATAGACACAAGATCCAAAAAATAATTCTCGAACTTCGTAGCTCATCCCAAACCATCCAATTTGACATCTAATGAGTAGGAATAGTTGTGACCTCTTTAGGCAATCCCTTCTTTTATATAAAATCCTAAAAATTAAGGGATTGTATTTGTAATGCATTTTTTAATATTTTCTATCATTTTGGCAAATATTGAAAATTGTTTTGACCATTGATACTTATTTTTACAGTTTCCATCTTTTCTCAAATTTTTTAAAAATACTTTGGGCATATATCGATTATTTAAAATCCATCTTTTTCATCAATTTTCAACTTTATTTTGATATGCTTTAGTTAATCATGCGTTAAATATACTTTTCATAGATATTTCTTTTTGTATTTTTAATTTTTTAACAATTTTTTGATTGCCCAGGACTTTCTCGGTTAGGTCGGTTTATTGGTTAGTACCAAATAACCGCTTCCGCCCCCATGTCATGTTGATCGTTCCAGTTCCATTTTTCCTACACTGGGTAAAACATCTTACTATAAAAATTACCTTAACCCTTGGGGAAGTATTTCTCAGGTTCGACTAATCACTATTTACAATATAATTGATGTTATATAATGGGTGTGGTTTCTATAAGGTTGCATCCTTAGACAATCCAATTAAGGCGCACCACCAAATTTCAGCATATCATGTAATTTTGGTGTAACAGATTATTAAGATTATCTGAAAATCTATTTTTATATCTAATTATAAACTTTTAAACTTAAAAAATGGTTAAAATCAAGTAGACCTATAAATATATGAAAATCTTGAAAATGGATGGTCTAAATAATGTGTTGCAAGACGCACTATTTTTGGAACTCAAATTATGTTTTTCTTTCATATTCAATCTTCTAATTAGAGGGCTTTTCAACATTAAAACAACCTTTTTCCAATAGATTTTTGAGGTGCATCTTTAATTCTACATTTTAAGGTTGCAACCATATTTAAACTTCTTCCTTATATAGTATCTTATTTTTATATTAAATAATATACTTAATATATAAATTATATTCCATTAATATTTAATATAAAATACATGGTTATGTTAGGGTGCTCACACTATAGACTAATTGATCATTGTATTCAACAAATTTTAAACATTTTTATACTCTTGTTTTGTATATGGAGTATTTTGTTCATAAGGGTATTTTTGGTAATGGAAAAACTTTCTATGTTCCCCTACAGTATAGAAGTTCTATCCTTCCCCTACCATCCAGCTGTCCATTTTTTATCAAAAGAGCTACTCGCCGTTTGATCTTAGATCCAACGTCTCAAAGTATTTTATTTTTAAAATTTTTTGAATATAAAATTTGGTACGTGCCATCTTATTATTGGGGTGCACCTATAAAAAATATTAGCAATAATTTTTTGATAAAATAATGACCAAAATACCCTTTAAGGGTATTTTTGTCATTTTATTTCATTAAAATTATTTTTTTATATATTTCGTTAGTTCAAGTTTAATAGAGGAATGAACCTCCAAAATTTTGCATCAAAATAATTTATAGAAAAAATACTAAAAGTAAAATAGTGTAGAGATGTGATTGTGATTGGGGTAATCTTAGCTAGCCCTCCAATAAAAAATGGATGGTTGGATAAAGAGGAGGATATAATTTTTATGCTGTAAGGGGAGCATAAAAAGCTTTCCTTTTTGTAATTAGGAGGGGTACTACGTCATCCACATAGAGCACACTAGTGATATTTAATGCTCAATGTAAATGATGTCACACCCAATATAGATGATGCACTTCTCTCCTAATGATAAAAAATATCATTACTAAAAAAAACTTCATGTACTAAACAAATGTATATAAGTGTCTAAATTTTGTTGAGTACAATAAGATGAGCACCTTAACATTTAGATTATGTTAAGGTGGTCACACTATAGAGTATTTTATAATTGTACTGGACAAATTTTAATAATACAATATTTTTTACTAAGGATAATTTTGGTTATTAAGAGGGTTGTGACATCACCCACATGGAGTATTAAATGCCACTATTGTATTCCACATGGGTGATGTCACACCTTTCTTAATGACATAAGTATGCTTATTAAAAAAATGATCCATGTAAAAAATAATGGTTTATAAGTGTCCAAAATTTATTGAATACAATTATAACATGTTCTATAATGTGAACATTATTGTAAATATAAAGCAATG